TTCTATTCGTAACATGAATTTCTACATTTCTTGATTTGTGAAATGTAACTTCTTAATTTTTTAATGCAATTTCTTAATTTGTCAACGTATTTTCTTCTTTCGTTACATGAAATTCTACATTTTTTAATTTTCGAAATATAATTTCTTTGTTTGAGTCACTTTTTGGGAGAATGTGTCAGTGTAATTGTTACCGCTGCCAGCCAATGAGAAGTTCTGTGTCTCAAGAAAGACTACAAGAAGTTACAATTCAACTAGTTACAAATCAAGAATGAAATAGGTTCCACAATGTTCCGCACGAGGGCGCTTTTGTTATTGTTGCTGGTAATTTCCTCCGTTGACTTCGGCGCACCCTGTTATAAGACAGGTATAAATTTGTCACTATCGGTATTTCAGATACTGCATCTTTGTAAAACCTTTTACAGTGTATTTAAAGAGTGTAGGTACCAATGAGCTATTATCGTTACAGGAAACCATTGATCCATCATATATATTCAATATTATTATAAAATAATATTGTGCTGTTCTGTTGGATTAATTGAAGATATGGCATAAACAATGTAGACATGCTACTCACCACGACTTGTAAAATTGAAAACAAAATATGTAAGTGTCCTAATTTTCTGTCCATATCTAGACAGTTTACTAATAGATAGAATCATGTGCAAAACAGTGTAGCCGAGACCATTGATTGGCGCGCTAAAATATCCCATTGACTGGGTCAGATTAGGTGAACGTTCGTCTGTAACGCCCACAACTCACGACGTATTTATTATAAACATTTAAACTGTGGGGTTGCCAAAGGGTCTTAGTATATATACGAACTACAGTGCACAGTATATTATATACATATTTTATTTGCGATCATAAAATGTACGAAGTCGTCCATTACTATGTAAATTGGGTCGATTAAAAAAAAAGCTGAATATGTTTCTGTGCCAAGGGTTTTTCACAAGTATAGTAGTTAGCAGAAAAGATCATCAAACTATACATTGTATACTGAACTGCGGCCAAGCTTAGCGAAAGGTCGTGCAACATAATCAGTCAAACAAACTTTATTAGATTAACTCGTTAAGGAATGATCGTTTTCATTGGTCAATTCAAACCTTCGACCTCACACCGGCGAAAATAGAACACGCGTACTATAAAGCTGAATGGACTGATCAGTATTCACGTAGCCGGTCAAGGTCGTTAAAAACTTCCATCGTCGTATTCACGTACATGATTGTGTTCTTGATTATCCCATGGCAATTCTAGCTTTTATACATGTGCATGTAAATTTTTAAACTTTAATCTTAACAGTCACGTCGAAATATTTAATTCAACTGTCTCCTCTCAATTGGTTCTGGATTAAGGGAGCTACCATTTTATTTTGATTGGGGGTGGGGGACTTGGATGAAACATTTTGTCCTGCATTTTTTTTAGTTGTTATCTCTGTCCTGTCTTTCTATTTTCAGTCTGTTAGGTTTTGACTATATTTATTAGTTTATCCTGATGTTTTTACATAAATCGTCATCCTGCCTTTTTTTTTTGTCAAGTTGCTCACCCTGCCTTATCTTTTATTCAATGGACTTGATGAATTAACGTTGTACTTGAAATGAAACCGTACTTAACTACAAAAATAACCAAATTACATACTAAAGATATTGCTCGATTTTTATAGTAAATGGGTTTGTGTTATAAACTGTCATGTTCATTATTCATATTCTTTCATAAGTTTTAGGATAGTGTGATTTTTTTTCTTATTTAGTTTACTTGATTTTGAAAAAAAAAATCCCGAAATTCTAAGTAAATTCAGAATATGTAACCAGCCATGCTTTGTTTAGAGAAAAAAATGGAGATGGCAAACCATGGCACAGTAGAAGGAAATGTACTTTATAAACTCCAGCGATATACTTTCTTAATTTATAATTAACTGTTTTGCTATCCTCGGTTGAAAATTATATATTGTAAATATTTAAATAGTTGCATAGAAAACAATCAGTTTTAAGCAGTGTGGTTATTCACTAAATGTATTGATAAAAGGTGACTCCATTTTTGTACATACTTTTACAGTAGTCATCCTTAATTTCTTAATATTTCGTTTATAAGTTTATCATACATGTCATGATTATTTTGTATTCATTTTAATACGCACGCATGCCACACGTTACTTTGGCGGATAGTTAAACAATGTTATGCAAAGCTCTATTCTTACGGTATGAAATTAAAGGATAAATTTTCAACCAATTAAAATCGAAAACAGTACATTTATATAGTTCCTTATAAACTACGAAATTTCTCACAAGTATTTATTTATTTTTTAGTTCCACACATGCAAAAATAAAATCTTCGCCGATGAAACATTTCAAACCTTTTACACCAACATGCCTTCACTGAATTCATTTGAATTTCGTGGTGACCATGATAGTACATTGCATAGTACATCTATATTCACGTGCACACATGATACGATCTTTCGGGGACAATTTGCTCGTTTATGACACGTCATTTCTGAATGACCAAACGCTTAGCTACTTTATTTTCGTTTTATAGCATGAAAACAATGAAAGAGGAATGTGCAACCCATCATAAATTTGAAATGGATCAGTATTATGAGATCCTTATTATAAGTAACTACGACATTGTCAGGATAATAACCTAGCAATTAAAGTGGTTCATACATTCATCCGTATAAAAGCGGCACATGTATTTTATTTTATCCTTATATTTTTCATAGTGCGGTACAAGTGCTGCATGCATAAAGAATATTACTTAACACAAATTATTAGTATAATATTTCGACCCCACTTTTTGAAATTCACAAAATACTTATTTAATTATTTCGACCAGAAATCATTGTTTTTTACGTTCGTAGTAACGTAGTACATTCCATTGTCGGTCACCTGTGTCAATTCACGTGCACACTACAATTGTTGTTGTATTTAAATCTTTCTGCCAATGAAATGAGACGTGACAAGTTGTTTGTTTGTGATACGCCAGAATGTTATCAATGAATTATCAATCGCTAAACTTGACTGTACCTATTCAAAAACGTAAATGCAAATTTCACAAGGCTTGATCCAAAAAGCCTTTTTACTGTCTAATAACTTGCAAGTACGAAAAAGACAGGAAAGAAGTATATTTTGTCTATATGTTTTGTGTTTGCACACTTTTTAAAGTTGATCATGCATTAATATATTCGTTCTTAAATAAAATTTTGACGAGATAAAAGTTAAAAGATGATATAATTGGACAACCGCAATTGTTAAATCGCTTTGACGTCCGAAAAAAAGATAATAATCAACACTTCCATTGTAACTTTAAAAGCCAGTTAAATCCTTTTTTGCTGAAAGAACATCCGATATCATAAAAATTCATTATCAAAACATAACAAAAACACAAGTAAAGAACGTTTAAGTATTCAATATAAATCAAAACACAAAGGTTATTCCTGATTAGTTTTTCGAATTATTTTATTTAGGCATTGAGACCCTTTGGTGACCCCACAGTTTAAATGTCTATAATAAATACGTCGTGAGTTGTGGGCGTTACAGGCGAACGTTCACCTAATCTGACCCAGTCAATGGGATATTTTAGCGCGCCAATCAATGGTCTCGGCTACACTGTTTTGCACATGATTCTACGTGCACTGTTTCGATTAAATGGGGCTCCCTTTCATCAAATAAACGTTATGTTGTCACACAAACATGGTTCTTTGTAGAAAATTACTACTAAAGACGTTATCATGTAGCTCTCGCCCGCCTCAATCCATCCCAGTCCATCCGACAACAGCCAACATGTCCCCTTAGCCGATCCTTCCTCAGAACTAAAGTAGATCTGTCCCCATTTATGAAATTATAATGTTGCAATTGAAATAGTATGTGGTAGTTGACTTATTGAATTTAAAGTTATATAATCTAAATAAAAAAAATATTTTTGAAATAGATTTTTATATTTTTGAAAGCACACTTTAATATGAGCACTTAATTGTGGTGTGTCTTCTAGTTTTCTATTTGCTAATGTTAGTGTGACTGTAATTTGATTCAAGCTGCTTTATAGGTCCAAAAATTCAATAATAGCAAATCAAAATTTTAAGTCATTCTTTTTGTTATACCAAAACATACACAAGTGTGTGTACTGTACTGTTGGTTCAATAGTTCCTTGTATGCAGTAACCCTCTAACAAGAAAATCACGATATCCTTATGCAGGTTGTAACATAGATTTTGGCGTGGTTTGACTAGTGTTGGATCAGCCAACCACCGTATGTTCACCCAGTCTTAAAAATATCTGTCTCCTTGCGCTGAAACCAAAAAAAAAATCTTAAAAAAACAGTGGTTTGGAATATAGGTGTATATTTTTATGACGAACTCTTATCTTACAAACTCTTTGTTTGTTAAGTTCATAACGCATAATGCGTATTTGATCGTGTTGTACCCGTAATGTTAAGTTCTCAACCGATCATACCTGTTAATTTCTGCATAAAATATAAATAAGAAGATGTCGTATGAGTGCCAATGAGACAACTATCCATCCAAGTCACAATGTATAAAAAGTAAACAATGATAGGTCAAAGTACGGCCTTCAACACGGAGCCTTGGTTCACACCGAATAGCAAGCTATAAAGGGCCCCAAAAAGACAAGTGTATAAAAGTCAAGATAGGAAGCACACCTCATTATACCTTCAGTGTGATCCGAGTGATGTCATCAACATAGTCACCATACATTCCAAACAATTTTCTATACAAAATGCATTATACTTGATTTGTATCTGTCAAATCCGATCAGTATATAAAGTACATATGCTTTTGTAAAACTGTATAGCATGAAAGCAGCTTGCGAAGAAATGAAAAGATGTAATACTAACAATTTTATATAAATGTTATTTTGCATCCTTATCTTTTGGTCTTTAATGAGTAGTTGTCTCATTGGCAATCATACCATATCTTCTTATGTTCATACTAAATTAAGATGACAGCGAGTAACATTTAAATTCTTATCTAAATTAAATGATGACCCTTGCTACGTTTGTAATCTTTGTACGTATTGTCAAATTGATAAGTAGTGTACTAAACGGTCATGCTTGTCAATACATAACGGGTTCTTATCATTTAAATTTAAATTTCGTAGTCTAATTCGATACCACCTGCTACAACCTTGTTCAATCACACATATTCCTTACATTAGGATTCTTAGTTTATATCATACATATTGAGAAGGTAAGACAGTTGTGCATGTTAGTTGTCAATTCAATATGATATGAAGAATAGTCATCTTCAATTCTTACAAACTTAGGGCGTTCTTGATGAATACAATTTTCTAATTCAAACATTAATCACATTTGCACTTACTGAATACCATGAACAATGTGGAACCACATTCAATAAAAGATAGAACATATGTTTCCCGCAGTAAGACTTTTCATACTGGTGCTTAAACATACTGCAAACTTGCAATACAATCCATTCAGAAAAAAAAACAGATTTCAATAAACGTATTATAGATACCAGGATTAAAGTTCTATCAGCCAGATGCGCGTTTCGTCTTCAAAAGACACATCAGTGACGGTCAAATAAAAAAAAAATTAATAGGAAAAATAAAAAACGAAGTTGAAGAGCATTGAGAACCAAAACGTTAGCTTAGATTATCTATTTCTGGGATATAAAATCAAATTGGAAGGGCACAACCATCCATTTATACTGCAGGACAAAGGTGTAAAATAAAATTTTCGATCACTTCCAAAAACTTCAGATTCACCCCCACCCCCTCGCTCATTTCCTCTCTGTGCACTTTGCACTGCTTTGTAAGGGCTGCACAAGTATTTCTTAAATATGAATGAAATTGAGCTATCAAATGATCTTTTTCTGTCATTGTTTGTTTTCAAACTCTAATTTTGTCTTACCATAGAATATAAAGAAAACGATAAACAAAGCTACAAACTACCAGGGTATTTAATTAATACAATGGAAATTACCAAAGAAAATCTATAAAACACATGTTGTATAGACTCGTATCTATTATTAAAGACTGTAAAATGCCCTTTATTATTTATATATGTTTTTTTTTGTCATTTGTGTCTATTATGTTTCTGATCCATGAACACATACCATCATCTCCCTTTATTCATATTAATAGTTACTAAAGTTAATGATCGACGGTATGATTCATGCATGAGAGCATTGATTAAAAAATATTAATTCTATGACAAAAAATTGATTTATAAACTGTTTCTGATGACAATATATTTTACTTCTGTATTTTTTTTTTCAGATGACAAATTTAAAAGTTCTTCTACTGGTTGTATCAGCTGTTTGTATTTCGTATGTGTTGACATGCCGTGACAATTACGCACAAAGTCATCATAGTAAATGTTACTGCCCATGTGACGATACCTTTAACCAGTGCGAAACCAACTGTACAACGCTATACCATGACAAGCTACACCTGAGCCACTGCCAAATCAGGTGTACAGATGGTCTAGCCTGGTGCATTAATGCATGTAATCACGGATAAAAATGTTAACTGTTTTTATTTCCCATTCTTTGAATGTCTGAATAAAAACTGATACTACTTTGTTCCCCTTTTTAGGTGAATATTTAATGACAAAATAAAATGATATGGAGATGTGGTATGATTGCATACGTGTAGTTTTGTAGTGTGTTTACAATCATACTCAATCGGATTTAGCATGCATTGTTCATTGGGCTAATTTGAACATTCAAATGAACAGTAATCTTTCATCATAATTTTTATCCGTACTCTTTTTTTGGTTCTCATTTTTCTCTACGATGTATATTATTTGTGGTATTTTATTAAGATTGTCTTCAAAAGAAAGTTATCAAGTTGAATAACATAATTATCATTTTTAGATGTTCTGTGTGTAAAATTGTTGAAAAATCTGTCTATTTGTAATGCCTCGTTCACACGTACATTTAATTCGAATTGAATTCGAATCGAATGCGAATCGAATTCGCTAATCGCGTTCACACACTCTTCTTTTTTAATTCGAATTGATTCGAATTGGCTTAATCGCATTATCCAATTCGCATTAGAAATGCGTTTTTGTTAATACGAATTAAAAGTTAACGTCGTTAGGACAGTAAAGCGAATTTGATGCGCATTGCAATTCGAATTAGAATTTACGTTTGGACGTTAAACGTTTCGAATGCGAATTAAACTTATTCGAATTAGTTAACGCGAATCGAACTCGAATTACGTGTGAACGCAGCATCAGACTCCTTTATATTTTAAAAGTTCCACAAAGTTTCTTAACTTTTTGATTCTGATCCTGTATGTTAAATATATTCAAAAACAAGAAAATGGGTCCAAATCACATCATGTGCCGCTATCACTTACATTGCCATGAAGTATTGGTCAAAACCCTAGTTTGGCATATCATCATGTTGATGTAGTAACAATCTACCTTGGACCGGGACGGACGGACGAACAGACTGGAAACCATAATGTCAATCTTTCCTCGGAGGCGGGGCATACAAATTCGCCTTAACTGTTTTTATTTGATAATCGAAAGTAATGGACATAAAAGAAAGAATTGGTGTTTTATTCTAAATAGATGTCATATTAGAAAGCATTAAAAGTAAAAAGTGGACTTTACATTTCAAAACAAAAGATGGAACAAAACAAAAGATGGAAAGGAGAATATAAGGCAATTTAGAAAAAGGCAATCCAACATAAGCATGTGTATGACGGTGACAATAATGCAAAGACTATACAGTCAGACACAGATATATTCAAATACGAAACGTAGAGCCTACAACACAAATAAAAATTGATTATTTTGATATGGATTAGATACGAGTTATCTGACAAACTAAGATCAATACAAAAAACTCACATAAAATATAAATCTATAATTCGATTAGTCTGAACAATTTTACCTGACTTAAACATCTATATTTGTTCGTTCCTGTTGACTGCTCACATGTTTTAATCATACTGCAGTTTTCTTTAGTTCGAAGATGACAATCATTCCATTTCTACCATTGAATTTGTCAATTGTATATTAACACTGGACACTTTTAATTTGCAAAACACTCATTTGCAAATCCGCCGCCGCCTCTCCTTAGAGCTACAGTGTCGTGTACATAACCAAAATGTGCGGAATTACATGGGATTCAATAAATTCATTGCTTTTCAGCTGTTATTATTATATATATTTTGTAATTTGATTTAGAAAAACATGTAGTCCCATGAGATATTAGTTGTCCCATGGGACAAAAACAAATCCCATGGGACTATAATTATCCCATGGGACCCAAAAAAATTCTATGGGATTTAACCAAAATCCCATGGGATGAAAATCCCATGTTTTTCTAAATCAAATTACAAAATATATATAATAATAACAGCTGAAAAGCAATGAATTTATTGAATCCCATGTAATTCCGCACATTTTGGTTATATACACGACACTGTAGCTCTAAGGAGAGGCGGCGGCGGATTTGCAAATGAGTGTTTTGCAAATTAAAAGTGTCCAGTGTTAATATACAATTGACAAATTCAATGGTAGAAATGGAATGATTGTCATCTTCGAACTAAAGAAAACTGCAGTATGATTAAAACATGTGAGCAGTCAACAGGAACGAACAAATATAGATGTTTAAGTATCCCATGGGACAAAATAAAATCCTATGGAATTCAAATTATAAATATACAGTAATGTGTATGTTACAATGAATTCTGTTTGGTAGTAAAAAGTTTTAAGATGAATCTTTTTAGTTGAATATCTTTTTTTCCTTGGAAATGTTAATGCAATTATATTGTTCTATAACTGTTCAAAACTAAACTTTTAAACAACAAAGCAGATAATGTAAGTATCAATATATGTTTATTTATGAATTCTAGAATACTTTTTTGAATCACAATTTTTCCCATTTGAAATCAATGAAAACTCTATTAATAGGCTTAACATACTAGTAGCTTCTTACATAAATCTATTTTTTTTTCAGGATATCCCTCCACCCAAAAAATTAATAGTTTTTTATCATCCAGCATTGTGTGATCGTAATGTATAGTCCACTTTTTGGCCATTCAGCACAGAACATTGTCATTATTGTGGTTTTAATATCTTTAGATATTTAATAGAACTTCAATTCATTGACTGAGTGATGAAAATAATAACTGATCTGACTTTTGTCTTTGAATTTATTTTGGTCTTGTTTCTGTGTTTTCTCCTTTTATTCTAAGTGATGATTTTCAATCCTGATGAAAAAGAACCAATAAAATCCGAAGTTATGGATAATAAAAAAATGTTTGCATACATGGTGCAATAACATATGATTTTCAATAAAAATAGCTATGCGGTATGGATTTTACTGATTGTTGAAGGTTGTCCAGTGTCATCAGTTGCTAACCTCCTACATCCTTTGGTCTCTGATGGAGAGTTGTCAAATCAGCAACATACCACATCTTCCTATTCTAATATTATATAACAATCAATTTATGTATTCTTCTTTATAACATTTGGGTATTTTCCCCAGTTATATATATATATATATATATATATATATATAGATCAATGTATAAACTTTAGGCAATTACAATAAAATTCCATTTTTCACAAGAATTTGCAATATATATTATCCAGAAAGCCAACAATAGAAACAACACTTCTTTAAGCTTCTGAAGTTCTGAAAGAGTTCCACTTGTGTTTTATTTCAATTAGAAAATACATTGAACTCTTTGGACATGTTGGAAATTATAACATTGATACAAAATATTATATTGGGTTTTTTTCTTATTTTTGTGTTGTTCGGTTGCTATCTCTTTTTTATATATGGTTATACATATATACTAAATCTTCTTTTTTTTAAAACTTAATCATTAATAGTAAAAATGGGATATTTTTTATTTTGATAATCTCAAAACTTTATTATTCTATCAAATAACTTATTTCCAAGTTCACAAAACACCAATGTGTCAGATATTAAATTTAAGACATGTATAAACATGATCAACAAGCAGTTGACAGGATGTCATGCAAAAATCTCACTAATATTAAACTTTCACAAAAACTCCATACTCAGCGAGTACTATTAAAGTTCTTTATAGTGCAGAACAAATTCCTAGTACAGGACACCATGCCTGGCAAAAACTAGCATGTGTCAATGTCTAGTCAATCATGTAATCAGGCGCAAAATCTTAGTTTGGCACTGAATTTAAAAATTCAACACATAATGAACATGTGTATGAAATTCAACTTCATGGTAAGCTATATGTACCATAACCTAAAACTTTAACCTAAGAATGTACTATAATTTCACATTATGACATTTCTATGTTCAGTGATCCATAAAATCAGGGTAAAAACAGTAAATGTGGTGTATAATGTATAAACAAGAGTGCACACGCTGAAATGTTGCGCTTTCTTTACTAATCATTGATATCATGTTGATAGTCCTAAATATAAAGCTTTACTACAACTATCACATAAACTTAACATGATCCAAGAAAATGAATTCAAGGTCATATAAACCTGACAAGAAATATATGTACACCTTACAATCATTCAATATACTAAATACAGTTGACCTATTGCTTATAGTTTCTAACATTGTCTAAGAAGCAGACTTAACCAAGAAAACTAAACATTGACCAATGAACCATATGGAAATGAGGTGAAAGTCAGATGAACCATGCCAGGCAGACATGTACAGCTTACAATCCTTCCATACAACACATATAGTTGACCTATTGCTTATAGATTAAGAAAAACAGACCAAAACACAAAAACTTAACACTGAGCAATGAACCGTGAAAATTAGGTCAAGGTCAAATAAAACCTGCGAGACTGACATGTACATCATAAAATGTTTCCATACACCAAATATAGTTGACCTATTGCATTTAGTATTAGAAAAAAAGACCAAAACTCAAAAATTTAACTTTGACTACTGAACCATGAAAATGAGGTCAAGGTCAGATGACACCTGCCCGCTAGACATGTACACCTTACAATCATTCCATACACCAAATATAGTAGACCTATTGCATACAGTATAAGAATAAAAATGCTCCGCTGGCCGCAGCTTGATACGACCGCAGAGGTCGATCCCTGAACAGTTGGGGCAAGTATGGACACAACATTTAAGCTTGATACAGCACTGAATTTGGATTGTAATTAAATATTTGACACAGCACAGGTTTCTGACACAGAATGAATGTGGTCTAAGAACTTAAAAAATTTTAATTTACCTATTCAAACCATATCATTATTATTTGCTTTTATATAAATCAGAAATAACCAATTTAAAATGGAAAATTTTAAAGAAAAAAAAGGAAAAAAAATCCACTCCCAATTTTTTTGAACCCCCTTATGATTCATCATCCCCAAACTCAATCCCAGCCTTCCCTTTGTGGTATGGTACCTTGCAGTACAATTTCAGAGAGATCCAAAAACTTGAACACAAGTTATTGTCTGGAAACTAGAAAAATGCTTGTTTTTTGGCCCCTTTTTGGCCCCAAATTCCTCAAAGTTTAAGGCAATTACCCCCAAACTCAAACCCAGCTTTCCCTTTGTGATATGGAACCTTGTAGTACAATTTCATAAAGATCCATACACTTACACACAAGTTATTGTCCTGAAACTAGAAAACTGCTTGTTTTTTTGCCCCTTTTTGGT